TGACAGCTTGGCACCATCAGCTTTCTTCACCGCATTTGCTTATGTACCCACTTTGTCTTCAGCATTCGTGTTGGAGTAGGCTGGTGTGCTTCTTCCTTGTGGGTTTTGTTGTTTCTTGAAGACAAACAGGCGGCAATATAGTTTTTGATGATGAATATGACACCAGTATTCTTGAATTTGTCAATCTCAGCCTTATAAAACACTTGAGTATCTAATTAAAAATAGCTAGTAACAGCCTATTAAAGTTCAATAAGCCATATACCATCAATATTTAAACTATTTAAATTTAAATATTAAATAAAATTTAAATTTTTAAAAAAATTTTGTTTTGACAACTTGAAATTGTTTTTTTTCCCTTACAATTGTTCTTGATAATACTTCATATACTCTTTCTTCCAAGTATTAGAGGATGTATGCAGCTATTTTTCTAATTTTTAGTCATGACATGTCAACCGCTTAACGTCCCCAAAGCTCTCCTTCATCAACATCATTACCGTTGAATGTACTTTGAGGATTTAGTACTTCTGCAGTGTTATTTTGTTGCCATTAAATCTGAGGGGCTCATGTTCCAGAAGTAGATCACCAGGTCTTCCTCCCAGTCCCTATTTCTGGAGATTCCACTAAGACCTGTGCACCATGGGTGATCCAGCTTGTATTTGAAACACTGGGTGGCAGTGCTTCTGGCATCACAATAATATGCAAGCCACCACAGGACAACACTGAAAAATGGGTGGTATAAGCTAGAATACAGGCTCCATAAACAAACAGAATATGGTTCTGTAGCATAATACCTGTCATATATACCTGTAAAACTGGTTTTCTCCCAAGTAGAACATTCTACATTTTTCACATTCCCAACTTTATGTAGTACTTAGTTGTCTCTCAGTAAAGATTGATAGAATGAATACATTTGTCATCTACCAACTGAAATTAGCAAGCCTTACCACTCCTTTGGTCTATTGGTCTCAATGTCTTCTTTGTATTACATTTGTTGTATATTTTCATGGCCTCATTTAAGCAAATACCAAATCTGTATTGATTCATTACTTTCATACCCAACCTTGTTTCTATAATAACTGTTTTTATCATTTGGATTGTTTACATGATTGTATTTCTTCCAATGGGCAATAAACTTTAAGCATAGTGTTTTATTTACATTCATAGAAGAGGGTTGTCACTAAAGATTTACCTTGTATGAATGCATAATTTAAGAGGGCCATTATAAATCAAGATGATAGAAAGATTCAATGTTCTATTCTTTTATAGAAATCCAGAAAGATGGTGATCATAAGCTCGAACACTTGCAACATGAAAGATACATGGACAGAAGAGAACGGTGCTATAAATGTGGGACAACCTTCATCGAGGAGTCCGAGCTCTATGAGCATCAGATCATTCGTACACTAGATAAGACTTATAAATGCAGTCAGTGTGGGAAAAAATTGGATAAAATGTTCAAACTCAATGAACATTATCA